CTCCAGAGTAACTTCGAAGAAGTCTCTTCAAAACTTGCTTGAAATTGGAGGTGCCATCGGACCCGAATGATCACATCGAGCATTTATATATGGCGCTCTACATAAAGAACACTGCGGGCACCTAGGGCTACACAATTCAATTGGGCATAATAAATTAATTAAAGTACAGTATTTAATTTATAGGCCTATTCAAAAGAAATTCAAAAGAGATAGAACCTCCAACTAGTAAGATGGAATATATACAAAGACACGCAATATATGGTACAAACTTGCAACTGTCTCTTATACACATCTAGATGTGTATAAGAGACAGACGCAAGGCTGTGTCTGCTCAGAGCTTTGATTTTGGTAAAACAGATGCATCCCCTATCACCCTAGATGCAACCGATTCACCAAACTTACAGGTGAGCTACTTTAAGGATGACTTGTGGTGTGGTTCAAATTGTGACAATTCCAGAATGTTGTTCTCATGACTAAATTAGTAATGAGCAGTTGCTATTGCTATACTCTATAATTTAATCCTCGTCGCTCAAGATGTGCAAATCAGGGAACAGTTAAACAGGATACTTATTTTTTTAATAGCCTTCACAATGAACTTCAGCTATTATTCCAGGGAAGCTATTGTCCTTAGCAATGATGTACTGTATGCTGTTGTTGGTAGTAGTGATGATGTTGGTGTTGTTCATGGTGTAACATTTATTGTTGTTATGACAAATTGAGTTTTTGGAAGTTTTTTAACTTGGCAGAATGCTAGATGATAATGTTGTGTTTATTTGCAGAATGGTCATGGAACCCAAGTTGGAAATGGATTAGGTAGGAGAGAGAGTACAGTCTTTCCAAGGTATTAAACATGCTCATTATCTATGCATTTTTCTTCATCAAGCTATCATAGACATTAAGGTATCATTGTCATAATTAATGATATCTATCTAACACATAGTGTACCAACAGTTAGAATTTATCAAATACCACCTTCAAGAAATGTTATTAAGATTATTTATAGATTCATTATACAGTATTATTATTATCATCATCAAAATTAAAATATTCTCATTATTCTACTATTGTAAATTTAAGCCCCATACTTGCATAAACTGAAATATTACCATTGTACAATTAAATAAGCACCTTATGAAAATAAAACTGTCTATTCCATGTTAAATAACCAACCTCTTAAATATATCTTTCAAATTTAGCTCTGATGAGAAGCTCTAGAAATACTAAACTGATTGGTTAATAGATGTTTATTTTAGCTTATTTAGCTACCTCTATTATATTGCCCTCATGAGGCTGTTTGATTAATAAATCTTTTTTAGGTCTACTGCCTCTATTATACTGCCCTCATGAGGAGCTCTAGAAACACTTTGCTGATTGATTAATAGTTGATTGATTAATAGATTTTTTTTAGATCTACTCCCTCTATTATACTGCCTCATGAGGCTGATTGATTTATAGATCATTTTTAGCTCTACTGCCTCTATTATACTGCCCTCATAAGTAGCTCTAGAAACACTTTGCTGATTGATTAATAGTTGATTGATTAATAGATATTTTTTAGATCTACTGCCTCTATTATGCTGCACTCATAGGAGCTTTTGCGATTATGAGAACTTATTTTTTGGGGGAAAAAAAATTCATTTGTTCTGTCCTCTTATAGTTATTTTATGGCAGCAGAGCAAGGCCAGAATCAAGATGAAGAAGAAGAAGAGGAAGAAGTGCAACCAGGATTGTCTAACATTAAACAAACTGTTCTGGTAAATTCATTATTATTTTAACCAATAACATAAACCACTACTAATCTGTTTGCTGCCCTCTATTGTTAGAGGTTTAATAAAGTTTCTGCACCCTCTAATTTAATTTCATTCTTGTCCTTAAATAATAGCTTACAAGATTTTCTTCTCAATTGTTTTTTTATTTGCAGAGTTTTTTTGCACGAAACTTCTACAATCTAAAGACTGTTCTGCTGGTATTGGCATTCACAATCAACTTCCTTCTGTTATGGTTTAGGGTAGGTATATGATGTGGTGTAGTTATTAAGTTTACTATTTATTAAACGTTTATAATGTTCAATTTTAAAAGGACCAAAAAACAGCACTTTGGATTTTAATTTAAGTAGTTTTCTACATGTTAAATACTTCCAGAGCAGAATAGTAGTTAAGATGTTCTGACATTCTGAAACACACTGGCAAAGACCAGCAAAACCAGTCACTCCTCGCAAATCATGTTTCGGAGATATTGGCCAAATGTATTTTATGTACTAAATTAAAATTTGTGTATCCATACATCATGCTATTTTGTTATTTTCCCCTTTTCAACATTAAAACAACATATTTTAACATTTGCTGATGGTCTCTGCCTGAGAAATGTCTGAAATGGTGAACTTTGACGGCTGATTTCTCAAATATTATTTTAACAGCTGTATGGTTAAATGATTCTATTTTTATAACTTTCATTTTACTGTTCAATCCTGTATTAATAACTAACGTTTTTTTTTTTTTTTGAGGAAGGACTGGTTTGGCATGTCTTTGCCACATATGTTACAGCATGTTTAAGGAAACCATATGCCACCAGTTGAGGGTTTAGCAGATCTTGAAACCCTTGGCTAAACAAATGGGGAATAAATGATAAACAATCAGGTCAGGCAGCCAAAAGTCCAGAAAAATTAAATAAATATTATGGATGTCTTATTAATAATTTTTTATTTGGTCAATAGTTATTTGCTAAATGACATCAGGGAACAGTGAAATTTCACTGTTCCCTGATGATATTTATACCTCCTTGTTCTGGCCATTTTTTTCAAAGACCCATTTTCCCATGACTTCGGCCGCCGTCAACTACGGTTGGGCAAAATTTGTATGAGGCACCATTGTGTCTGTCAGGTTTTTGGGGAGGGAGTAGAGCAGCTTCCCCCTGTTCAACTTCCATTGCATTGCTTTCTTCATTTTATTATAATAACTGTACTGTATTACTGCTTCCGTAGGCTACCACCAGTATGGAAGACGTTCCAGATGTACCAGTTGATATTGCTGAGCCCGATATAAACACCACACTTGGCAACGACACATCAGGAAGCCTTGAGGAGGAGGGCGACCTACCAGAGGTCATTGAGATAGCGGAGGGATATTACTATATAAATCATATACTTCAAACTCTATGTATAATACATACCCTAGCATCACTCTCAATGTTGCTTGCATATTGTGCATTGAAGGTATGTCATAAGAAATAATTTGCCCATATTAGGTGGGCATGAAGTCATCACACCCATATATGGGCATGATGATGGCATATAACCCCATATATGTGCATATTACAGATTTTTTTTTTTTTTTTTTGCCCAAGCACAGGAAAATTGTTATCAAAGCTTTGAAATCTTCATACAGTATCAAATTTATTGATTAAATCTTGGAAAGTGGCCACTTTTGCTTCTGCTTTGTTACAGTATGTTATAATTGTTAATTATATTTGTGTCTTTTTGCAGATGCCTCTTGCTATTTTCAAAAGAGAGAAGGAAGTTGCAAGGAAGCTGGAATTTGATGGAATGTGGATAGTGGAACAGCCATCCACAGATGACATCAAAGGGCACTGGGACAAACTTGCAATTAGTGCTCCGTCATTCCCTGAAAACTACTGGGATAAATTTGTCAAGAGAAAGGTAGGTTGTGGATTTCACATTGAAGAATGTGACTGCATTTTTAATTCGTGTCGCGGCCTTATTTTGTTTTTAGATTGTCAGAGGAGGGCGGAAAAAATTTAAAATAAAATGTTGTGTTCTTATAGCAAGTGGTTTTGCCAAAAACATCTAGACGGAGGAGAAAATAAAAGTAACATTTTATTAGTGAATGTAAAAACAGTGTAGTATGGTTAACTAATTTAAATTTACATAATTAGGAAGAAATATACACATCTTATTTTTTTAGATTTCAGGGCAGTGGTGGCATAATAAAAATAAAGAGATATTTTATTTTTTTCTGAAATTTCCATTTTTTCATTGTGGCAGGTGCACTAATTGGGCAAAAATTAAATTTTATTTTTATTTGAAATCATCATTATTGTTGGGTGGTGGGTTTGCTAAACAAGGTATAAAAACAGTATCGCCTATATTAGCAAAACTGTATATTTTTGCCTTTGTATATTAGGTGTTGAAGAAATATGCAGACAGTGTCGGCGAAGATAAATTACGTTCAATGCTAGGCCTTGAGGAAGACAAACCATCAGAAGAGGAAGGGCTTTTATCCTCACTGTGAGTAAAAATATTGGAAGTATGAATAATAAAAAAAATATTCAGTAAATATTATTGTGGTTAATAATATGGAAAATGTTAGGTGTTATATCTATTTTTTGAAACCTTGTATGTATAATAATTGGTTGTACTTGATTTGTTTTTATTTAATAATTGGTTGTACTTGGTTTTATTTATTTATTTATTTATTTGTTATATTTATTTTTATACTGGAGTAGATTTGCAATAAGGAAGGAAAATTTAATAATTGCACCTTGTATTTTTTTGTATCTGTTTTTCTATTTATCAAATATCTGTTTCATTGTTTAGATTAACAGCTGTGGACTTCAAATACCAAATATGGAAATGTGGTGTCATCTGCACAGACAATGTAAGTACATACAAAAGCACATTTATTAAATTCAATAGATGACTTTTTAGTGACGTCATTTTGTTTGTGCAATCGAAGCTCCCTATTACCTTATTGGTTACCTACATACTGTAGTTTAGAGTAAGGATAAAATTCCAGTGTTATGTATGAAGAATGCTGCTGAAATCAGTGATGTCATTGGAACGTCACTAGATGACTAGATTTGAATTATTTTTTTTTTATAAAGAAATAATTATGTAGTGATAGTTTCGTAAGAGATTTCAACTATTTTGTATCTTCATCAAAAAGGATAGAACGACGCTTCTAACTGTTTGAAGTGTTTATATGTTTATTTTTTTGATGGTGTTTTATTACAGTGATTTAATATTTATAGTTTCGGAATGTTATCGATGCAAGTCATATAACACAAATTTATGATAATTTATTTATGAAGTGAGATCGTTTTATATATTAAAGTTTAATTATTTGTCCCAGACAATGTGAAACAATTTATTTGTCTTGTCAATACACTATTATGCCATTGTCATACCGGAAGGTGTTAGAGTATAAAACCTCCTTTGATTTAAAAATAGGTGACTCAACCTGGATTCGAACTCGGGACCTTCTGCTAATTATATACAGTATGTATATATATATGTATGTATATGTATATATATATGTATGTGTATATGTATATATATTCGGTATATAATTACATTGATGTAATTTGTTGAAATATTTTTATTCGAGACCAATACCAGTATACTGGCATTTAGTCAGCGGCGTAGCTACGGGCATTGCAGTCAGTGCAAAACACTGAATTAAGGGCCCATTCATAAATAGAGAATATAATACTGTATATGACCACCTGACAACGAGAAAAAATAGCAGCAGACATATACAAATACAAATACTGTATTAACATATAGGTAGACTATGCATCAATGTATATAAAGTGTTCGTCGTTTTGTTACAAATTGTAAATATTTTAAATAGGAAAGCATCTGTGCATATT